CCGGTGCGTTTTCTAGGCCATTTCAACATGGTGGCCGAGAAAAAGCAACCTGTAAAAGTTAGGCCGTCATGGTAAATGGTTAACACATGTGTTCTTTGCCTGTCTTACCAAAAGAAAACCCATATTCCAGACACTACCGATCTGTGGACGAGAACAAACTGAACAGCAACTGGCGGACATTCTACAATGGCGGTTTAACAGAAACTCGGCTGGAAGAGAATTTCGAGAAACGTCTAACATCGGCAGTGATGGAACGTGTAAAATATGTATACGATCGGCGAATGATCCGATGTGAAGAAATCGCGCCAGCCACTTTTAAACGATTCGAGCGACGGCTTCTCGATTGTGCATTTAAGAATGAATCTCAGACTTTATAGGATCTTTATTACTGGTACTCTTTTTTTGACTTGAATGAATTTTTAAACGATTTTTCTGAAAATTAGAAATGATTTTCTAGATCTGGGTCTATTCTATTTTTTATATTTATTTTGAATCGGTACTAGAAAAATCGAAAAATCAAAAAAATGAAATTTATCCCGGTTTTTGCTGTAGAATCGCGGAGATTGGAATCTGGGGGAAAATCTAGAAAAGAATAAAACAAATTGTTTTGAATCTAAACGGGTTTTATAGATAATTTTAAAGATCAAGTACACTTTTTCTGAAGAACAGAGAAGAATAGAACGCCACCATTTTTTTGAACTCCATTGTCTCGGTTCCTATGAGAGATATCAATAATTTGTCAACTGATAAAATATTAGTGATATTATGATAAATAATTTATCAGTTGCCAGAATTTTTATATGTATTATAGGAACCGAGATGATTGAACTCAAAATGCACACATAGGGTCGGCTTCTATTAGCGCAAATGCAGTAAACAAACTGAAAAAAAAACTACAGTATCGGACAAAGTTTAGGTGTCAGAATAAAAAACATCGGATCCAAATCGATAGTCATTTCTATCACAGGTAATAACTCAGCTGAAAATGTATTTTTGATGCTCAAAATTTCACAAATGATGTGTTTTAAATTGCTTATCAGATTTATGTCGAAAAGTTTTTCAATTGTAAAAAAAATCCATTTTTTTCCCCTC